GTTTGTTTGTTATGGACACAGCACCCGTGTGACTCCATCAAACCCAACCTGTGCTCTGCTAATAACTGATTAACTCAGGCAACAGGTCTGAATTTCACATTCAAAAACAAGGCTCTGCCTTTCTTCCTGGTCAGGTAGGGACCACCAGGCATGGATCCTTTCTAAGAACCTGTTAGAGGGGACAAACACACCCCCTTCCACAGGAAAGGGACTATGTGAGAACAGCGTAAGGAGAGCACAACTGGAAGACAAATAACCACAGTTATTTTCCCCAGCTGTGAAGGACACACCAAAATGGAAATTGAAATGTCTTCCATCTGAAGGCACTGCTGACTGCTGCACAGTGTGGTCACTGGGGACTGCTTCAACCTTAAGCCTCATCCTGACAGTTTTCTTCCCAACAATTCATACAGGCTTTGGATGGTGGCACCCACCAGTCCAACACAGACCAGCTGGTCAGTTATTACCTCTTCTAAGCAATTCCCACTCCCTCGTCCTCCCCAGCTCTGCAGACACACATGACCCTGTCACTGAAGGCAGCACATCATTTCTAAGCAAATGAAACACCCTTTGCTACCTGCAGAGCTCAGTGAATTCAGTGGATGCTTTACCATTACCCTCAGACACTCCCAAAGCACAGATCCCATCGCTCCCTTGAGGTGACAGTGCCATACCTTGTCATATCTGGTTCTGGGCCTTCATTCTTGTAAGATGCCTCAAGTTGTTTATGTCGTGTGAGAAGGTCGTCCACCAAATTCTGCCTCCTGTCCCCCTCCAGCTGTGTGCTGATGGCACTTGGTTAAGGAACAAACTTTAAAACACTGAAAAACTTTCATTTAATTATATAAAATATCTGTTATACATTCTGAAAATAAATCAGATCCCCTGATCATCAACATTAACTAGGATAACTATTTTAACTCAAGAAAAGGCTCCAATATCTTAAAGGATGGGTCACATCTTTCTGAATTAAATCTGCTGTTATTCTAAATGTGTTCTGAACCTCACATATCTCAAACAAAAAGTTTCATACAGTGGCCACAGAATGATCTTCATGTCATCACCTCAAAGCAGCAAGAGAACTGGAAGACTGCTTACTGCCAAATTAGCATTAAGAACAGCATCTCCTCCTCCAACACCCAACACAAGTCTTTTATCTATCACTAAGAAGCCCTAAGCAGTTGGTCTCCTCTCCAGCACTGACAGTGTAACCCTACTGCACGGGTTAAGTTCAGGGAAGGATGAGACTTCTTAAAAGAGTTCCAACTCCCACTGTCACAAACGGGGCAGGCCCAAACAGAACAGAGCTTTTAAAACCAGTGGGGTACTTCACATCTCATTTCACTGGAGGCTCATAATACAGACCAGGGGAGTAGCTCTTAGCCAAGTGATCAGAGAACAACCAAAAATTTCCTTTGAGCATCTGTTTCCATTTGCAATTGGTCAGCAGAACCCCCAACAGCCACTGGTGCAGCAGAAAAACAATTCACGCAGCGTCTCTGAAAGACAAGATGCCCTGAAGTGCTGTGGGCTACAACAGGGGACGTGTGTTTGCTTTTTTAAATTAACCTCAGTGAGTTCTGAAGGAATACTAACCCTCTTCCAAGTACTGCTGAGTGGATTAGGCAATAGCTGAACTGCTCTGTGTGTGCTTTCTGCCACAGCAGTAACATTTGCCTGCTCTCAGGCACTCACTGGATGGGGAAGTGTCACCCTTGCAGCAGCACAGCACTGAGGGGCCAGGGCTTAGGAAGGATTTCTGATATAATAGGCTTGAAATTAAATGTGCCTTCATCAACTCAGATTGCTCCTGGGTACCTTCAGGGAGATGGACAAACTTCTTTGACTCCTTTGGCCTGACTCTCCCAGTATATGGGAGGAGCAGCATATCCAGGCCACAGGGTAACACTCCTAGAAGAAAACCTGTGATTTCTTCCCAAGGCATATTTTGCAGCATTTTGACAACATTCTGAAGATGGAGCCCTGTTGTTCCTTAAGTCAGTCAAAGCCAGGACTCCCAGAGCCCTGCCCACAAGGCTTCATCCTTCCCTATAGAAAGGCCTGGCCAAGAGAAAACACCAAATAGCCAGCTTTGTGCTGGACAGGTGAGCTTGGCTCACACTCCAGCACCCAGCCAGCAGTGCCAGCACAGCACAGGCAGCACCAGGACAGCTCTGAGATGGCTCACACCATCTTGCTGAGCTCCTATCTGACACAGAGATAACCAGAGCCAGCCCCATACCCACCACCCCAGAGGAGTGCAGGCTCCCTTCCTGCTCTACAGCTGCAATGAAAATACCAAACAGCAGCACAGAGAAAGTTCCAGTGACAAGGTCTTCTGCACAGGGAATGAGGAGAAAACCCAAAATGTGTGGCAGAGCAATCACAGTGTCTTTTTCCACTCTGTCCCACAACACCAAAGGGTCAGAGAGTGATGTTCACACGGATACATTTGCCGTGTTGACACCGCCCGAAGCAGCAACTCCTTCAGCTGATCAATCTTCTCCCTGAGATTCTGCAGTGATGATCTGATGGCCACATTGATCTGGAGGGGAAGAAAGAGATTATTTAAGTTTTTCTTTTTGGTCTGAGTTATAATTGCATAAAATTTCATTCTGCGTCATGCAGTATTTTTATATATGTATATATATATATCTCAAATATATAACATATTATATATAATATGTAATATATATAATGTTATATATATATATATATAATATGTATTTAACTTCAGCTCTACAGGTGTGAAGGGCTTCACTCCAGCCCCAGAAAGCTGAAAGGAAGTGACACAGCTCATGGCTCTGGGGTGCTTATAAAATAATGGGAGAAATAGTTCTAGTTTCACAAACACAACTCTAAGGCCTTACAGCTGTTGAATATGGAAAGCTGTCTTTCAAGTCTTTATAAACAGACTCCTCTATAGGGGCAAAACATTGCAGCACATTTTATTATTTTTTAGATAGTTTTCCACTTCTCTCCTTTGATCTTTAACACAAATAAAAGCACCAGTTCCTTCAGTCACCAGGTTTCTTTCCCAGCTCTCAGGTTTAGAGGGAAGGTTGCTACAGGTTCAGACAGTCCCTCCACTGAACTCCTCCAGACTTTGAACTAAAGATCCCAAAGAAATTCAGATTCCTCCATGTCCCTTCTCAGCAGCACCTGGGACCCCTCCCCCTTTCTCACCACTGACCTGCCCAGGATTCAGATGTGTCTGTTCTTACCAAGAACATAGTTCAGTTGTTCACAATTCTTCCCTGCTGCAAGCAAGCTCCAGGCTTGCAGGAATCCTCCTCTCTCCCCACCCCTTCCCAAGTCTGCCTGACATTATCCTCTGGGATTTTCCTCCTTAGATCTTATTTCTTTTCATTCCAGTTATTCAGAGAGTTCTAGGAAAAAAACACTTTAACTGCAATTAACCATGCAAGTCATCCTAATTAAGACTTGATGTGCTTCTTGTTTACAAGCTCCCAGCCCTGCTGTGGGTTACAATGGGCTGCAACCCCAGTTCCTCTTTGAGGAACTTGGATCAGAAGAGGAATATCTGGTCTGACTCTCACTCCAGCCTTCTTGGAGACACAGCAGCAGCCAGACAGCAGCATGACCCTGAACAGGACCCTGCACAGCCACACCACACTCGGTACCAGCACAGGGATGGAGCAGGAGAGCCCCAAAACCCCCCAAAAGCATCAGGAATTTAAATCCCTCTGACTCTGTGAGGTCTGTTCTCAAACACCACCAAATACAACAGCAAGCAGAAGCAACCATGCTGAGCCCTCGAGAGAATGCAGCCAAAATCCACCTTCAGCCCAACACCACGGCAACGATTCCCAAACCAGGATGGGGTCTCAGTGCTTTTGGGAAGGCTCAACGTCCTGCACGTCCTCTGGCTCTGCAATCAGGTAATCAGTCCTTTAATTTCACGTGTTCTC